CCCAGGGTCTCACTATACTAGTTAAGTGCTCAACTACTAAGCTAAATCCCCAACCCTTTTCAGTATTATTTGTATTTTTACTGCATACATTTCTCAGCATCTCCTTCTACTTATAATGCTTTTTTAATCCACCTATTGTGGGGAGGGGGCATAAAAACATGCAGGATCCAGGGATAGTGTGTATGGCTTAGAGGGAAGGAATAGGCAAAAATAGGAAGGGAACCGAAGGGGTTATCAGATGACCTGGACTAAAGACCAGGTTTCACCTAAAACTAGTTCTGTAAAACAAAGAAATTCACATTAACTCTATATTTTAATTTTACCCCTCTGGGTAAGGGGATTATTATATTTGGAAAAAAAGGCTGGTGAATTTCTAATCAATACATTTTATCTTAATTTGTTTCTTTGAAGGGTAGAATTTTAGTATTTACTGAACATTTCTTGTTCACATAAGAACTGCTACCCTGGCTGGGAGGGTGGTGCAAGCCTTTAATCCCAGTGGCTCGGGAGGCTGAGGCAGCAAGATCAAGGAGGACCCCGAATTCAAAGCCAGCCAACAAAAGCAAGGTGCTAAAGCAACTCAATGAGACCCTGCCTCTAAATAAAATACAAAAAAGAGCTGGAGAAATTAGCTCAGTGGTTGAGTGCCATTGAGTTCAATCCCTTGTTACCCTCCAAAAAATATGGTACCCAGAATACATTAAAGGACATTATTTTTTATTAATTTTTAGTTGTAGTTGGATATAATACCTTTATTTTAGTTATTTATTTTCTTTATGTGGTGCTGAGGATCGAACCCAGTGCCTGGTATCTACTAGGCAAGTACTCTACCACTGAGTCACAACCCCAGCCTGGACATTAATATTAAACTTGAAATTCAAATAGAACAAAATCTTTAAAAGTTTGATTTTTAAAAAAATAAAATCTTAAGTCTTTTCTTCTCTAGTTTTTATAAGCCTATCAACCACTTTGACAGCATATGACTAAAGACAGACCAACAACATCCTCCACCATAAGTAAAAAGAGTAACTTAGAGTTCTCTTATTTCTACACAGGAATATCTTTAGCTACAAGGAATGGTATTTGTCAGAAATTATGATAAATGAAGCAGATCAAATATGTCATATTTAAATCCTTTCAAATCTGCTGATAATTACCTCTTCCAAATTATCACTGAAGTTAAAATGTTTGTTAAAACAAATCATATATGACCCAAGAATTCCACATCGAGATATTTACCCAAGATAAATAACACATGTCCAAATATTTGCATGTGAATATTCACAACAGCCTTAGTCATAATAGTTCACAGGTGGAAAGTAAAATGTCTATCAACTGGATTAGATTAATAAAATGTGGTTTTTATATAAAATGGATTATTTGGCAATAAAAAGAAATACTGATACATGTTACAAAATGGATGAACCTTTTTTTAATGTCAAATGAAAAAAATAATCAGCCACAAAAAACCCACATAAGGTATGATATCATTTATATGAAATGTCCAGAATAGGGAAATCTAAAGTGAATGAATGCTGGTAATGAGGTTTCTTTCTGGCATAGTGAAAACTTTCTACAAATAGATTATGATGATAGTTGCACAACTCTAAATAAACTAAAAACTACTGAATTACATGAATAGGCAAAGCTTATGATGGAATATAAGTTATAGCTCAACAAAGGTGTTTAAAAAATAAAATTAAGGCATAAAATTGGTATGGCTAGGACAGTGGGAAGTTTGCAGGAGAGATTCTAGATTTAGGTTGTAAAGATGGACCTAATGGTAAACACACTTAGGGCTATAGGTTGAAAAAACACCTGTGTAAAGGTTTCTCTAGCACTTTATGAATTAGGAATGCAAATTAATTTCCCCATAGAGGAGATTAATCAGTTCTTCTGATCCCACTGCTTCAAAAGCCTCCCAAATCCAAAATAAAGTTCTCATCTTGAGGATGAACTGATTAAGCCAAACCTTTCCTTTATCAAATCTTTATATCTGTTTGCTGGTTCTAACAAGGATAAGAACTCTTTTTGTTATAATTTGGAGGAATTAAAGGTAAATCAACAGGCATGAGGTATCTAAGGAAAACAGATGGAGGAAATAAAGAACTGAGAGGCTAGAATCTAAAGAAGGTCATAGATGTGCTATGAAAATGAAATAAAACTGCTCTGCAAAATTATATTTTATAAAGCCAGACTTTCTATAAAGTCATCTTCTATAGCATTCCTTAAATTATCACTGGATATAAAACTTACTAATCTGATCACATTTGAATAATTAATGTTAATCCTAAAGCACTTGTCAATGTTGAAAATCAAACCACTTCTTACTTGTATGACATGGAGGAAGTTATTTCTCAAACCCTAAATTATAAACCTAATTTCTCAATTCTAAAATGGCAAAGTAATAGCAACCTTTTCAAACTCACTTGAAAAGGTGGTTGTGTGAAGGGATATATTTCCTGTAACACTCAGCACAACTCTTGATACACAGAAAGAACCCAATACTGTTCCTCTATGTCATGTGAAAATAAAAGTTAATTTTGGTAACTGATAAGTGCTCAGAGGACAGTCTATAATAATTAAATAACCATAATATACTTAATAAGATTCACAGGTAGATGAACTAGAAAGATATCCAAAATATTAAAAACAATCTCAGTCCTACTTGTTACTTAAAAAAAAATCTCTGCACCTTTCTGAACTGCATTGTAATCACCAATTTCAAAAGGGTATACAAAATTATACAATTTACTGATCACATCTTACCAAATTTCATTTCAATTTCAGCAATAAAAAAGAAATGCTTGAGAAACCTTTCCCCTCTAAAGCCACTCATTCCAGATAAGCACGGTTGTCTGTGGCCAACAGCAGAGGTTTGGATTTCATGTAATAAAAACAAAGGCCCTCCAAAACAAAAAAGCCTCACCATTATTAGCTTAAGTCCTGGGGAGCTGCTTCTAATTTGTCTTAAATAACTAGGTATATTACCTACTATAAATTCTATTCATTTTTCCTCTGAAATCATTGTGCACCTCATCTCAGCACTGTTCTCTTCTAGTCTGCGAATGAGGAAAGCTGCAACTAACTGGATTGTTGATGAAATCACAGGCAGACAAGCCCAGCCCAGAATGTGTCCCACAGCACAGACAACTCCAATAGTCACCCTGATAGTGGCTTCCTTAGGTTAAGAACTGCCGCTGGTGAGGATGGAACATAGCATCATGTGTTATTACATAACCACCACGAACTAAAACAGTTATTCCCATTATACAGACGGGTTCTGCGGTTTGGAGACTTGGCCAAGGTCACACTCCCTATCAGCGGCAAAGCCACGATTCAGACTCAGCGGTTGTTTGTTTTTTCCCAGAGTCCAAGCTCTTTCCAGTACACCGCTAAGCTCGCGCCCCTCGGGAGCGCTAGTTGGAAACGCAACCCTCACCCGCCCACCCGCACCAATCCACAGGTGCGCAGCAGGAGCCGCCTGCTAGGACCCTTTACCCTGCTGAGGCCCAGAGGGCCTAATGGGCCCGAGGCCGCAACCCCTCGTGCAAGGGCCTCGCTCCAGTGGGGAGCGCCAGCTCGCCCAGCACTTCCGACCCCCGCGCCTCATTGTTCCCGATCTGGCTCACCTCGGAAGATGCCGGCGCAGGCCCGGCTGCGGCGCTGGAGGCAAGCTCCCCACGGCCGAGGAGGCTAGGTCGGTGACGGCAAGATCCACGAAGGCGTACCCGGCGACTTCTCCGCCTACCCTCCGGTGCGGGAGTAGGCGGGGGCGCTTCACCCTCCTCGCGAGACAGCGGAGACCCTGGCGGCTGCTGCGACCCCTGTGACGTAAAATGCTCATCACCAAAAGCAGCTTGGGGGCGGGGCAGAAAGCGAGACCCACTCCCCCAACCCCCGGCGCGTCAAAACACAGCAGCAGCTTTCGCAACGCATGCGCAGTACACAAGCGCCGGCACTGAGGGCGGGGTTTAACGCATTAGGCCCAAGACACCGCCCTTCCCCCGTGGCTCAGTTCCCCTGGGTTGAGCAACAAGACCCTCTGAGGCACAGATCTGTGTCACACGATTGATAAATCACTCGAGGTTACTGGGTCACACAATAAATGTTCGCTACCAGCTTACCCAAAACGCACAATAACTAAATAACATTCAAACTCCACCAAACTCTGGGAGAAGTTACTAAATGATCTCTACCATGTATAAAGGAACTAGTGTTCCACCTCAGATAGCTCAGATAGGAAGTTAACACCGGAATTCGAGTGAGATCCACAACCACAGCCCAACCAGCATTCTTGAAAGTCTTCAGAGGGCTCGATCTGTGGTTTGAGGAAAAATACTTACCCAAACTCTTCCCCAAACAACGTTTTTCTTTCAAAGAACCGATTTTCCCTTTCCCACTCCCCAAAATCTGGCTTAAAATCCTGTTAAAATGGTATCTAAGCTATACCGTGAAAGAACGTCTGAGCTAAAGCGGCCCACTGCCAAATTCTACCACTCGGGCCTCAAACGCCACCGTCCCCAACATTCTAGAACTGAACTTAAGACTCGGTCTCGAGAGCCAAACTGCCGTACTTTGGGCCTAATAGCTCACACAAGATGTGGTTCTAAGCTCATAACAAACGTTCAACAAACACTTGTTGATTGGTTTGTACATTATGCCTGGTATCACCACATATTTCTTAGAAATACCATTTACATCAACAAGCTTGTGCATTCTCAATAACTATCTCAGAGGGTTCAGTTAACAAAGAGGCCAGCAATTCATCTGTTAAATAAAATGGTGGTATTTCTGTCTGTGTCAAAGAACAACACACGACCTTCTATATTATGTGGTAACAAAGGGGAAACGTTAATTCTTCCAGCGTAGACCCCGGTGTAACATGAAAACATGGATTACTTCTCAAACTTTTAAACGCGCACAATGGCACATTTTTCTGAGTCACTACTGCACTACATCTGTAAAGGAAATCATTTGCGGCATGCCTATCTCTGGCAGCAGAAAAGCAATTTTAAACAGATTTTTCTCCTTTATTTCACCCCCCCTCGCTGAAAGGCGGGCTAACACCGGTCACGTGACCGCGCCCAACTCCGGGCGGAAGAGGAACGCTGGGCCCTTAGGAAGCGCTCCAAGATGCGCGTGGGCGGGCGTTCGCGCCCGGTTGTAAGATGGCTGCTGCCGCCCAGCAGCCACCGCCCCGGAGGTTTCTTTAGAGCCTGAGGCTTCCGCGCATTCCCGCTTACGACCGCAGCCTCCTTACCATGAAGCCAGTGAGTCGCCGCACCCTGGACTGGATTTATTCAGTGGTAGGTCCTGTATCTGGCGGGGCCCTACAACGTCGACTTCCTGGGCCCGCGGGAGGAAGGCCCCCTAATTCTTCAGCGCTCAGAAACTCTAAAACCCATTCCTGAATTAAGCGTCTCACTCCCTCAACTCGACTCCGCCTCTTCCTGGAGGACACGATCTTCCGCTTCTTACGTAAGAGCTGCTGGGTGTACTCGCCTAGAACTCCCATTTATTAGATTTTTACTATAATTCCCGTTTTTACCTGGTACGTGGTAACTTGACGGGAGCGAGAGTACCAGCTCATTTATATAAATATTTTGCTTCTTTTACTTCCTCTTGTTTTTTTGTTTTTTGTTTTAGTTGCTGCTTGCAGTCGTTTTACTCTCCTGGGGATATGTCATCTATGCCTCAACAGTAGCTGCTCAACGACAGCTAAGGAAAGAATACCCAGACAAAATCTTCGGGATGAATGAAAACTTGTAGTTCTTTTGGATTTAATTATCTGCAATACAATTCTTTTCTTCATGCTTATCTGACACCTATGTAGATTTAAAAGTAAAATCCACACTTCCCACCAGATTTATTTTTGTATAGTTCTTTATAATAAGCACAAACAGGATAATTTTTCAAATAGATCTTATAGCTTTTGAGTGTCAGACCAGAGATTGTCAGGATGGGCAAGGGTGCAACATCTGCATTCGAGGGGAGAAATAAAGAATGTCCATGCACTTCTGCCTTTTTCAATGCTTTATTCACTCAAATCATTCAATTTCACTCTATAGATTCTTAATCAAGAAAATGACAGTCTTTAATGCTGGGTACTGCAATAGACATATAATCAAAGCAAACAATTCTAAGTTAATTCTAAGCACTGCCAACATATGTAATCGTGACAGACTTATTAAAGACATTCCCCCTGCATGCTAAGCTTAAAGTCTCAAACCTTAGGGCGTTAAGTCCAGCAGATGCACACTCACTCAGACTGCAGTGATCAGGTCAGGAACCTCTAAAGTCTTCTCCTGGGGTGAAGCTGACAGCTGGTTTAGAGGGTCTTAAGGAGAAGTCAACATTCTCACCAGGGTTAAGGTGTGGCTGTAGAATTTGAGAGCAGTGAGGACCATGCAAAAGATCAGGCAGATAAGGGTTGGGATGTCTGAGTCCTCATCAGGTTCTCTGGCATGTGGGCATCAGTGTTGCCTGGCTGATTGTCTGTACATTTGCTCCATCATTTATACTAAATTTTAGGGCTTTTGCTCGTCTTTTGAGTCCCAATAGGCTGATACCAGGTTTCTTAGTGACTTTTTCATTCCAGTGACAGGACATACAATTTGGTGAATCCCATCCAATTGACTCTTATCAGGGTGAAGACAAATGATAGTGACTTAACTTTTGAGTTTTATCAGGGTTGTGGAAAGTGACTTGTCTTTATTAGGCTATGCCTGATGTCAATATTGGAGGGCTCTGTAGGCTGGTGCCTGGTGGGACTGTAGGTTTTTTAAAAATGGAATTGTTTAGGCTAAGGCCATCCTTACTGAGATAGAATGAGAAGTTTTTCAATCTAGTTTCTAAAATACTTAATTAAAAATACTCCAGGGGCTGGGTTTGTAGCTCAGTAGCAGAGCTCTTGCTTTTAGCACAATGTGAGGCACTGGGTTCCATCCTTAGCACCACATAAAAATAAAACGGCATGCTGTCCATCTACAACTACAAAATTTTTTTTTAATCTGAAAAACAAAAAGTGTGGAATTTGTCTTTATATTTTCTTATTGCAATATTTTACTCTGTTGCATACCCTCAACAAAACTGGAGTAAAGACTATGTAAGGGGGGAAAATCAGCGACTAATTACTTTTCTACATCCTGTTTCTCAAGTCAAAATGGCCAGAAAAAGTAGGTGGAGGCCTGGATTACTTTTTGGCATTTCTGGGGTTTACTTATTGTTAAAATTATTCAAAGAATCGCAAGTTGTACAATGTTTTATAAGAAATATGACGATACTTTTCTGAGAATAAACTTTATTAGTTACTTTTCCAGGAAGTATATTCAGTAAATATAACAATAGGAACAAACTTGGGCTCATAAACCTTTGAAAGTTTTAAGTAGTCATCAGTGATGTTGATCAGGATATTCTTTCATTGGTGGAATTACTTCTCCAGTCTCCAGAATTGTATCACCCTGGGAAAACGAAGAAGCATTTATTAGAAAAATCTAAAGTCTGCAGAAGTGGTAGTTTTATTCTAGTCTATGTTCAGACCTTGCATGGAACAATTAGCATTCACATTATCTGGTCAAAGAGCATGGGCTTTGAAGTGAGAACCAAGTATGAAGAATCTTGGACCCCATTAACAAGCTGTATAATTTTCAGCAAATTACTTAGCTTCAATTTCAGGCATATGTTTTAGATAACAGATTCTCTGTCAGTCTGACAGTTCCCAAGTGAGTAGAGTAGAATTGTCCCATTCCTCACTCCCACCCTGCCATTTCCTGAACTGGTGCTGCTCAGAACTGTCATCTGATGAAGAAACAATCTAGTTTTATATTTAAGCCACATATGTTTTGATTACAATTTGTTACCACAGTAGCGCAAAAAATTGGGGCCTTGAGGTCATTTAATGCTGCTATAATGAAAATCAAGCCATAGTGCCCTGGTTTGGCCATTTGGTGCCAAAGGCACAGGCACTCAAAGCTAAAAAGATGGAAACAAAAGGCAAGGGCAAATTACTTAGCAAAACATCTCCTATAATAACTTGGAAGCAAAGTGCCTAATGAACTTGAGGTTCTAGGAGAATTTCTTTTCAGAAAAAAGAATATATATATATGTATTTGGATACTACTGGCTGCCTTGGGCATGTACTTCAAGAAACATGGGCTTGGGAAAGAAGTGGATGATTTGAGAGGAGAAATAAAAGGAGAGAATCTAAAAATTCAGGATCTTGTAGTACTAGAAAATCAAATTGCTTTGGAATTCCTAAATAGTAATGGTTAACAGATTTTGAGCAACAGATGTCATTAAAACTTAGGAAGCAGAGAGATTCAGTCCCATGGCAAAGACCAGAGTGAAGTGAAAATAGCCTTTGAACCATTCTATTTCAGATGACCTCCATATAGAAGCAAACAGATGAGATCTACCAGGTATTTTTCTATGCTTGCTGAATGTTAAGGGAAATGGATGGCCAAAGATGCCAAACATACAGACTACAGAAGCCTATGAATGTTTGAAAATAAAACCACCTCTGGCACTCAACCTGCTCACAGGAGGCATGTTTTAAAGGCTCTACAACTGCTAAGGAGGGTGTGCTTCCCAATATCCATTTACAGATGGTCTAGGTTGATAATAAAGAACCCCACGGTTAAAGCTAGGGAGCAGGAAAAACAAGGAACAAAGGTGTTCCATCTAGAAGACAAAATCAGTACCTATTTAAGTAACTTTGCACACAGAGGAGCATTTGACTACTAAGATTTCGGAACCGCCACACCCAGTGACTGCTGTGCTACCCACAATCTACTGAACAATGGGTGTGGTTAGGGCAAGAAAGGGATACTTGCCTTTTGGGTTCACTGATCCTCAAATCAAGAAAAATCACATCTGAACCTGACAGATACTTCTGAGAATTATCTGAAGATCATAAATTTGTGCTGGCTACCATGATGGAATAGGACTTTGGGATCTCTCCCTAGGAACTGAGTATGCTGTATATATATGTGGAGAAGAAAGTAAAAAACTATCTGATGACTGCAAGTACAGACTGTGGCAAAGATTCCACCATGTATGAGAATCAGGGAAATGGCAAAAAAGAAAAAAAATTAAAAACCACATAGACAATGGGAATTCTTTCTGGCCAGTAGGATTTGAGAAGCAATGTAAGCTTCTTCCAAACTTTTACTTTAAAAATCATCCCCTTAGACATCCAGTGCTCTCTTCCCCTACCACAATCTTGGACATCTCTTTTCCAGAGGCAGAGCTATAAGACTCTGAGGTGGATTGCCTGATCCACACTCATTTGTGATGACAAGAAATAAACTTGTTTTGTTAAGCCAAAGATTTACAAGATTGCTATTGCCTATCCTATTCTAAAACATGTACAAATAAGCAGTCTTCAAGTTCTGAAAAAGGGAGATTCTTAGGGAGTCAACAGTACAGACACAGTAAAAAACCACAGCAAAGGGAAGAAAAAAAAATCCCCAAAATAAATAAATGCTACAGAATCACTGATGTGGTCTTCTGAACACAGCTCACCTTTTGAATAGAAATGGCAAAATAAAAAATGAGCAAACATATAAGAATAAATATAACTTACCCAACTGATGAAAGCAGCAAGATATTTTACTATTTTGAAACAACATAGGCCCTAACACACATCAAATATGCATAAGAAAGTAAAAGAAGAAATCCTCTTCTTTTCTAAAGCAGAGTTACAACTAGGACAGTTAGCCAATTGTGGTGGTTTTTCCCTTAAATTCCCTTGATGTAATAGATAATGATTTATTATGAAATACGTCAATGAATTTTGAGTTTCATGATTAGATTTTACAGTTAATGATAGTTTATTCATTATCTGTTGACTAGAAATGGACATGAACATAACATGTATTATTTTCCTATACTAAACAATAACCTCACCAACAGCTAATAAAAATACCAGCTGACCAGTGAGTAGTCTTTTATGTTGAGTTAACTCATTTTAGAAAATTCTTCCCTTTTTTGGTGGTATTGGAGAATCAAATCCAGGGAATTACACATGCTAGGCAAGCACTCTACCACTGAGCTACATTCTCTAGCCCCTGAAATGACTTATTTTAAATTAGTAAGCCTTACATATTAATAGCATAAATTTAAAGCACATTAATGGATTTTAAATTCACAGAGAGCTTCAGGTCAAACCTTGAAAATGAGGCCAAAAAAAAAAAAAAAACACAAGAAAATTAGAGTTTGAAAAAAATAGAAATGCAGTTACTGTCACTGTGCTCAGATGCCTGCTCAGCCTTGTGCCCTAAGTCCCTCATCCAACATGAAACAGTACCAGTGAAAATCTGTTGATACCTTCAACTCACTTTAGGAAGATGAGGTCATAAAACAAGTGTTGAAAATTAGTGTGTCCGCTTCCCATTTTCAATTGTAGTTGCTACCTCATACTAATTTAAAACACACACACACACACACACACACACACACACACACACAGAGAGAGAGAGAGTGAGAGAGAGAAAACACACACTTAAAACTGACAGAGGAAAAGAACATTTTAGTCTAATGATCACTGGAAGTGGGGCACAGAAAATGACTAAAAGAAAATTCAGAGTTTAAGAGTTTAGAGACTTACTGGGAAGATTCTGGGCTTCCTTTCAACAATGGCATATGGTTTTTTCTGTAATGAAAGTAACTGTTAATTATGGTGTTGAGTTTGTTTGAAAAATAAAATAAATCATATCCAAAGCTTTAACTTAAGCCCCAAACTTTCATAGAACTCTAGACTCATATATACATCCAACTTTTTATTCAACATCTCTATTTGGCTATCAATAGGCATCTCAAATTCAACCAGTCCCAACTGTCCCACCCCATGTTCCCTATCTTAGTAAATGACACTTCTCATTCCAAAGACCAACAGACTTGACCCCTCAGCAAATCCTGTTGGTTTACCTTGATAATGTACCTTATATCCAATTGCTTCTCATCATTTCTAGTAATACCACCCTGATCAAACTTCTATTATTTTTTTCACCTGGAC